TTTAATTGCAACCCACAACCTCAAAAAAAGGAAAATGCAAAAAAAAAAAGAGAGGAAAATTCTAACTTAACTTGTGCCCTGTTTGTTACTAGACTAAAGTTTAGTCACCTTGACTAAAGTTTAGTCACCCCTTGAGGACTAAAGGGGATTGAACTACTTTAGGGCCTGTTTGGTTAGATGGGGCTAGAGACTACGGAGCCCATTTTAGTCCCAAATAGTCCCTACTTTCTTGAACACATGGACTACTAACGGGACTAGAAGACGTTTGGGTTGTAGTCCTTAAAGGATGGCTATTTGGGACTCCTAGGCCAAGTTGACAAACCATGCCCTTATCTCTCTCCTCTTTTATTGTGTCAGGACCATCCGCGTCTGCCCGCTGAAGCACCGATAGCGACTGTGCGACGAGGCTATGCGCGACGGCGAACAAGGAGCTCGCGGCCCTTGGAGCTCACGACCGTGCACGGGGAAGGCTATGGTGGTGCGATGAGCCCTTCCTCCAAGCATCGGCGACAACGTCTTCTCCCCCTGGATCTGACAGCGTGGAGGCCCCTGCCTCCGCTCTCCACCGTCCCGCCGCGCAACGAGATGGTGGTGAGCTCGTGGCCACGGCGGAGACGGCGGCCAGCTTAGGCATCCCGGTGCCCCTTCCCCACCTCCGGCATCTCGGCGGCCCCTCCCCACCTCCGACATCTCAGCGCCCCCTCCCCACCACGGCCCGCGGCGGCGCCCCTCCCCGGGTGCGCGTATAGCTATCGGCGAGACGGAGCTCGGCCGGGAGTGGCGCGGCGTGCCCCATTCCTCGGCGCGGCTAGGCAAGAGAAGTAGGGGTATTTTGATCTTTATTTATCTGCCTTAATGATCTTTAGTCTCTTTGAGTCCCTAGAACCAAACATGGCCTTAGTCACCTTTTAGTCTCCACGTTTGACATTTTTTTAGAAAGGACAGTAAAAGCTTTGCCGCGATTTCTATTAGACAAAGAAAGAAAAAAGACAAGTGGCAGTCCAGTTTTTTGAATGGAAACTGGACCAGAAAAACCATACAACTGAGGAGAGTGCCTTATTCATCCTGCATAACTTTGGTATAACTGTCCCAACTCACGCCACTACTTGCAGCTTGGTCGAATCGACCCAACTAACAACAACTTGGCCGAAGAAATGATCCATTGGAGCACCGAGCACCACCACCCTTGGAGAAGCGCCATGGCAGACGGCAAGAGATTAACGGCGAAACACTTGACAGCCTAGCAGAGCCTTCAAGAAGGAAAGGACACCAAGAGCATCAACAAGCTAGCCCGATAAGAGAAGGTTTTCACGTTTGGCATTTTAGTGTCAAAAAGTGACTAAAGTTCAGTCTCTAAAGCTCCCCAAACCACTTGAATGATGGAGAAAAAATGTCCCATTTTAGGTCACTCGACGACTATAAATGCAATCATCCAGGGTATTGACGTTTTGTCATCTGGACCTGAGGAGACGAATCACATTTGCTTTTGCCACTTAATTGGTGTCGCACTTGTATTCATAGGGATGACGACTGTACTGGTAGGTTGTGACACTGGATTTTTTTTTTTGCAGCACGAGATGCGGCTGGCAGATGTGGACAAAATGAAGGAGTTATTTGATCCGAGACACTTGTTGAAGAATCATAGCTGATGAACGTAGCGCTGGTGTGCAAAGAGTTTGATCCGGCAGACCGTCAGACCATGGCAAAGGGCAGATCTACCCACCCTGGAGCTTCCCCAGCACTCCGCTATAATCGGCTCACAGGCACATAGCAAACAACAGCTGGCCATCAGCATCAAATATACCAAAAATACAGAATAATAATAGAGATTTGAACAACTCCGGCCTCCGCTGAACACAGCAAATGGCACTGCTTTTATCCGACGCTTTCCATGCCTAGAAAGTGTTGCAAGCCCGAAAGAACAAACGCTCAATAGACTCAAGATCAGGAGAGGAATGACGAGATGAGACCCCAAACGAATGTGGACGATGGCTTGTCTTCTCCTGACACCGGTTTGGACTTTCTGAGCTTTCGCTTATATTATAGGGAGTAGTACATTCATTCAGTCCAAACTATGAGATATGCTCACTGTTTCCCGTTCTGTAATTCAGGGCAAACCATTTCTGACTTTGGACGTGCCACTATCACACTATGAAACCTAGAAAAACGGTACTTGTAGTTTTTTCAGATTGATTCCTTCTCCAGCCCACTTCAATTTCTCTCCTGTGTTTATATAGAACGGTAATGCTGGGAAAGCGGGCATCTGTCCGCCCGGACGCTGCCTGCCCCACTCCACCTCGCAGCTGCCGCCTTTTCCCACCGCGCGCCCTATCCTAGCCACGCCGTGCTCCTCCCCTGCCGCGCCCACTCCGCCTCACTGTGCCCATCCCCCGCCACGCCAAGGTGCTTCCGCTACCGCAGTCCCCCACCAGGAGATGTTGTGCTGAAAGCGTATATTGTAAATGTATGTTTCAATCTCAAGTGCTTCAGATGTTTCGAAGGCTCGTTGCATGTGTTTCATATGGATGTTGCAACAGTAGATTTGAATGTTGCAAATGTTGCAAGTGTTTCGAAGGTTCGTTGCAAGTGTTTCATTGGTGTCGTCGAGGGCTGTGGCCACTAACGCGGGAAGGAGGCGCAGGGACGGGGGCGAGTCATCCGGGTGAGCTGGGGGTGTGTGGCACGTGAATCTGAGCAGATGGGCAGAACAGACGTGGGCGTCCGTCCGGATATTCAGGCGTTAGCCTCTCCGTATATAAGAGATTGGTACATGATCAGCAGCAACCTACTCACTCCGTTTCATATTATCTGTCGCTTTGACTTTTTTGGTACATCCATTTTGATATGCATCTAGATATAAAAAATGTCTAAATACATAGTAAAATGGATGACAAAAAAGTCAAAGCGACGTCTGACCAGGACCGCAGGAGACGGTGAATCACGCATTATATTTCACTGGGCTGCCCTTGTGGGATTTATTTTCTGGTGCTGTTGTGCTCCGCGGGGTTCCCTAGATCTGTTCGAGGTCAACTCGATCGGCTGCAAAATGTCTGACATTGTTCTTGTCCATTCTAAGCTTTTTCAGCTTGTTATTGGCATCGGCATATATATAGCTCCATCTGATTGAGGCTAAAGCTTCTGCAGGTGTAAACTTCTGCACATTGTTCTGACGCCTTTTGCTCCCAGCTGACGGCTGGTTGTCTATTACTCTACCGACGGGAATACGAAATTTACAGACGATATTGTTTTACGCAATTCTGGTCTTTCACTCTTTCCCAATTCTTTTGACCGCCCTAGCCGATGTTCAGTTTCAGTAGAGGTTATGGTTAAGGTCACTTTTCTTTTAGCACAGGTGAGTCTATATCTTCTTCCGTAATATAGAACGGCACGCAGCCCTCCTGCTTGTTCAAGAAAGGAAGAAAAAAAAGGGTGCAAATTTCATTCAGCAACTGCCGTAGCTGGCACATAAACGACGCCAGGTCTGCCGGCTCAAATGCGTGAATCCCAGCGGGCAAATGCGTCCTGTGGAAACCAGGCAGCGGCAATGCATGAAAGAAATACATAGAGCCTCCTCAAACTTTCGCACAACATAAATATAAATGCGTTCCAAGCTTATTAGAATGTACGAACCATATAAAGGTCCAGAAACTAAATAAATAATACAAGCTACAAGTTCAGCAAAAAGAAAAATGTTGCAGCAGGTTCTAATAGCAGCAGAGTACATTGAAAATTTGATACAGCATATTTTATTTATTCGAATAGAAAATAGCTCGGGGGAACATAAGAGCCGAAACCGTCTGGCTCACAGTCAAGTGAAGTTGTGTCTTGTGGCGATGGGCTCTGTTGTAGTCTTAGAAGCATTGAAGCCAACTCCATTTGAGCTGCACCACGGTTCATGCCGAAACTTGGATCAGAAACATCAATAATTCTACTTAATCTTTGTGCACATACTATGCTTACAACCATAAATTATCCGATGACCAAAGTGCTTACTTCCTAGTGAAGCATCATAGAAGGATAGATGTGTCATAGACTATCACGTGACAGATTATAAACAAGTGACTTATGTACAAATCAAACGAAGGAACCAACCCTCGAGGCAGCACAGCACATGTTACATCGATATAGGACATAGGAGACTGGAAACAGAGTATCGACTGGTGGCCAGAAACAGAGTCGGTGCAGCCAGTGACTGAAAAAAACTACGTCCGTTATGTAATGGATTCAATGACGGAAAATCAGTATGTGCTAAAACAGGTTTGGTAGTTTCATACATCAGCATAGATGTTCGCATAATGGAAATGCGACGGTGTTGTACCAGATATGTCTCTCTCAGGAATCACAAAGTTATTTGTTTGACGGAAACTGGGCTAACACATTTTCAAAACCTGTGCACTCGAATGGCTGACACGCACGAGCAGCAACAGTGACACCATCAGCTAGGATAGGACAGAACAGGTTGGAGAGAGTACTTACATACACTGTACGCATGCAGATCCAAATTCGTATCTCCTCAAGACACATTATTATTGTCTCCTCTGAAAATTCGGATAAAGCTAATAATTAATTGAGTAGAGACAAGCAAGTGTTGTGTGTGTGTATGGAGAGTATATTCAGTAGCCAGCTACAAAATAAGTTATTCTGTAGCCACCTCCATTTACGATAATTTTATATACTAATTTACGATAATGTTTATACATATTTACAATAGTTGGGTTACTATAACACATGGGGACCACTTAGTAAGGAGTTACTATAATCTTATAATTAATATAGTAATTATCGTAACTCAAAGTGGCTACAGAATAAGTTATTTTGTAGCCAGCTACAGGGTAGTAGTTCTCTCTCTCTCTCTCTCTCTCTATATATATATATATATATATATATATATATATATATATATATATATATATATCAAAATGGAGACAGACTGTAACAAGATAGAAACAAATAATGAGATATTAATTTGATCGGAACTACAAAATTCTCGTCGTACCTGATTAATATGATCTAAGCATACAAAACGTGGGATGGACGTTGCATGCGTCTCTCAGTGCAGCCAACGCAGCATACGAAACGTGGGATGGTTGGGATGGACGTTGCATGCGTCTCTCCACAACAGGCATGTCTTCACAGACGATCCAACCTCTGAGTTCCCGAAGGGAAGCCAGGTACTCCAAACCAATATTTCCACAGTAGTCACTGTAGTTACCTTTTAGGGCCCGCAAAGGGAGATTAAAAACAAGCACTTCAAGATTTGGCATCACGCCAGAGGGTACAACTTTTCTGGAGTCATTGCTTTTTCTAGAGACAAAGGGCATAGCATCCTCTCCATTCCAGATATGCAATGAAACGCTAGTGTCCTCCTCGTCGGGCTGCTCAAACTGCACCATTGCATCGGTCTCAAAGTACCTCAACTTCTGGAAGAAGCTGCGATCACTGGAGTTAATATTGCTTGCTGTTACCGTGGACTCTGTTGTCAGGTTGAGATAACAGAGCGCCGGTAACAAAGCAAGGAGTTCCAGATCCTGCTCATCCATAGTAATCACAAACAGCTCCAAGTGGGCCAGGTTGGGAAGACGTGTGGGATTAATGCATGACGGCAATTTGGACAATCTAATTGCCTGCCATCCCAAATAATGGAGAGGTCGTGGGAGCACAAAGCCTGCTGCTTCCCACATGGCTGTATCTGTGTGCCAAGCTGAACCGTACACACCTATATGCTGGATCTTTTGCAGATTGCTTAGAGACTCCACGAAATCTCCGTGCATGCTCTCGTCCGCCCCATCATAAGTGGCAAATTGAAGCACCCTCAGTTCTCGCAGGCTGGCAAGCTCCTTGAAAAATCTCTTGGGCTTATCACTGCAACCATTTAATATTATTAGCTCCTCTAGGGAAACCAGCTTCCCAATGCCATCCGGTACCTTTTCGTGAGCACATAGCCGGAGCAGCTCTGTTAGGTGCACAATGCTTGCTGGCAATGTTCCCTGCACATCGAGTGTTTGCAGTAACTTTAGATTCCCTAGTTGTATGGGGAGCTCAAGGGAACTAGCGTTGAATCTTATTCTAAGGTACCTCAAGTGAAGTAAATCACCAAGATGCTCAAGGTGGCAACCTTTCTCAAAGCTACAGTATACTATGTCCAGCACGCGCAAAAGTTTAAATCTCAAAAACTGGTCCTGACTATCAATAAAACACTTGAATGCGGTATATGACCTCACTTTTGGCATCCTAGTAACCATTGTTTCAGAATTAACGTGCTCGGCTATTCTGTTTTGGTTGGCTAACCGACGGACACTGCTTGGTGCAGGTGCTCCTTCAACATTGTCACCTAATATAGCAATAAAGTTTTCAATAGATGAAAGCTTACGCATCAGATCAAGAACCATATCATGAACACGACAGCTGTCTACTCTGCCATTCCACTTGCTCTCCACAGGCTGGATCAAGCTTCTATTAATGAGATCATTGAAGTATCTTTCTCCAAGCTCAAATAATCTTGTTCCCTGTTTCCCATCAATAAATCCTTCAGCTATCCACTTCCATATCAAAGAATCCTTTTCGATAAAATAATCTTCTGGATATGTACTTAGATATAGTAAGCATGTCCTCAAATGTGGAGGCAGATCATAGTAGCTAAATGAAAGTATTGTCATAGTATCTTCAGTTTCCCTGTTATCTGTAGTATGAAAACCAATAGAGTTGTAGACCATTGACCATTCGCATTCTGGTTTACCAGCCAACAAACTAGCCATTGTGATGATTGCTAATGGTATACCAGCACATTTCTTTAGAATTTTCTCAGAAATGTCATCTGGATGGTTATCAAGGAACTTTTGGTCTGCTCTAGATAACCTTGTATAAAATAATTTCATGGAGTCATCATAGGAAAGTTGTTTCAGCTTGTAAACCTCACCAGATGCTTTGGCAACATCAACATTTGAGTAGTTGTGATTACTTTACTTCCATTATTCCCAACAAGTGCTAGTTCGATTGCTTCCCAGGTGCGTACCTCCCATACATCATCAATAACAATAAAATACCTATCCACACCAAAGTGGAGGAACCATTGGTTAATAAAGTTTGGAGCTTCTGCAGAAGCAAGAAATTTGCTAAGATTAATGGAAGTCAGCATGACACATAAAACACAAGGTCGCGTTAGTAAAAATAAAACACATGACGGAAGTTGCGATGGTTAATGGTCAAGGATAATTTCCTTTGCGCTTCTAGTATTTTCCTTTGCGTTTTTTTAGCACCCAAGGTAATTCGGGATTCTAGTTGTGATATTTATAGAAACTACACATCAAGTGGCCTATTTGAAGAAAACTTCATATTTAAGGACACTTTATTACACAGAACTTACTCATCTATGGCCATGTTGCAAACATAGGCAACCCTAAAACGTTGTTTTTCCTATAATTTATAGTTTTAGAAGGAACACATGCGAACACAAGGTTGACAAGTACCCTTGTGTGTTCGTTTTGTGATGAGTGATTGTCAATGTGATCCATAAAGTAGGTTGAGTGGTGACTAACCCTACCATGGCGAAAGCTATGTGTGCGACATGTCTTTTGGCTTGTGTTGTGCAGGTGTGGAGCTCGGATGCGGTGGTCGACGGCGAGGTGAAGGTCAAGGAGGACGTGCCGTGTCCGGCCGCACCGGGAGCGGTGAAGGACGCATGTGAGGCTTGGACCGAGGGACCCAGAGGCGGGTGACTAGCATGATGGGCGACACTTGGGACATTGACAAGTGCAAGAAGACATGGAGTGACGGTGTTGACCGGGTCAAGGCGGCGACGACGCGTGAGTCGGCGAGGCTCGGGAGGACTTGGCGGGCGGCCGGTCGAGGACGGTGGTGACACGCGTCGGATGGCGGGGAACGCGTATGGAGTACGCTACCCGCGGACGGTTTACGGGTTTGGGCCTCAAAACCCGGGCGGAGGTTCCGAGGAGGGACGGACGGCACGTGGCGGCATCGGGGAGTTCGCGTTGAGGCGAAGCTACCGGTGAGAAGGCGCAGTGGCCGTCGGATCAAGATTACACCGGGTTGGACAACAATGCCTTTGGGCTTAGCGGTTCAACTCATTTGTATCCAGGGCAAAACTGGGAATGTGTAATAGCCCTGTTAAATAGGATGAGGGAGCCCCCATCTTATTAGAATGTACGAACCACAGAAAGGTCCAGAAACTAAATAAATAATACAAGCCACGAGTTCAGCAGAAAGAAAAATGTTGCAGCAGGTTCTAATAGCAGCAGAGTACATTGAAAATTTGAAACAGCATATTTTATTTATTCGAATAGAAAATAGCTCGGGGGAACATAAGAGCCGAAACCGTCTGGCTCACAGTCAAGTGATGTTGTGTCTTGCGGCGATGGGCTCTGTTGTAGTCTTACAAGCATTGAAGCCAACTCCATTTGAGCTGCACCACGGTTCATGCAGAAACTTGGATCAGAAACCATAAATTCTACTTAATCTTTGTGCACATGCTATGCTTACAACCATAAATTATCTGATGACCAAAGTGCTTACTTCCTAGTGAAGAATCATAGAAGGATAGATGTGTCATAGACTCACGTGACAGATTATAAACAAGTGACTTATGTACAAATCAAACGAAGGAACCAACGATCGAGGCAGAGTATCGACTGGAAAACAGAGTATCGACTGGTGGCCAGAAACAGAGTCGGTGCAGCCAGTGACTGAAAAAAACTACGTCCGTTATGTAATGGATTCAATGATGGAAAATCAGTATGTGCTAAAACAGGTTTGGTAGTTTCATACATCAGCATAGATGTTCGCATAATGGAAATGCGATGGTGCTGTACCAGATATGTCTCTCTCAGGAATCACAAAGTTATTTGTTTGACGGAAAGTGGGCTAACACATTTTCAAAGTTTGTGCAGTCGAATGGCTGACACGCACGAGCAGCAACAGTGACACCATCAGCTAGGATAGGACAGAACAGGTTGGAGAGAGTACTTACATACACTGTAGGCATGCAGATCCAAATTCGTATCTCCTCAAGACACATTATTATTGTCTCCCCCTGAAAATTCGGATAAAGCTAATAATTAATTGAGTAGAGACAAGCAAGTGCTGTATATATATCATATATGCCAAAATAGAGACATAACTGTTACAAGATAGAAACAAATAATGAGATATTAATTTGATCGGAACTACAAAATTCTCGTCGTACCTGATTAATACGATATATCAAACGTGGGATGGTTGGGATGGACGTTGCATGCTTCTCTCAGTGCAAGAAACGCATCATAGCTCTCCACATCATCCACATCTTTACAGTCGATCTTCCCTCCGAGTTTCTGAAGGGAAGGCAGGTACTCCAAGCCAATATTCCCACAGTAGTCACTGTAGTTACCTTTTAGGGTCCACAAACAGACATCAAAACAAAGCATTTCAAGATTTGGCATCACGCCAGAGGGTACAACTTTTCTGGAGTCATTGCTTTTTCTAGAGGCAAAGGGCATAGCATCCTCTCCATTCCACATATGCAATGAAACGCTAGTGTCCTCCTCGTTGGCCTGCTCAAACTGCACCATTGCATTGGTAATGAAGTGCGTCAACTTCTCGAAGAAGCTGCAATCACCGGCGTTAATATTGCTTGCTGTTACCGTGGACTCTGTTTTCAGGTAGAGAGAACAGAGCGCCGGTAACCTAGCAAGGAGTTTCAGATCCTGCTCATCCATAGTAATCACAAACAGCTCTAAGTGGGCTAGGTTGGGAAGACGTGTGGGATTAATGCATGACGGCAATTTGGACAATCTCATTGCCTCCAATCCCAAATAATGGAGAGGTTCTGGGAGCACAAAGCCTGCTGCTTCCCACATGGCTGTATCTGCGTGCAAAAGTGAACATGAAGCGCACACTCGTATATACTGGAGCTTTTGCATACTGCTTAGAGACTCCACGAAATCTCTCTGCATGCTCTCGTCCGTCCCATCATGAGTGGAAAATTCAAGCACCCTTAGTTCTCGCAGGCTGGCAAGCTCCTTTAAAAATCTATTGGGCTTATCACTGCAACCATATCCTATTATTAGCTCCTCCAGGGAAACCAGCTTCCCAATCCCATCCGGTACCTCTTTGTAAGCACATAGCCGGACCAGCTCTGTTAGGTGCACAATGCTTGCTGGCAATGTTCCCTGCACATCGAGTGTTTGCAGTAACTTTAGATTCCCTAGTTGTATGGGGAGCTCAAGGGAACTACCGATGACACTTATCCTAAGGTACCTCAAGTGAAGTAAATCACCAAGATGCTCAAGGTGGCAACCTTTCTCAAAGCTGCAGTTTACTATGTCTAGCAGGCGCAAAAGTTTAAATCTCAAAAACTGGTCCTGACTATCAATAAAACACCTGAATGCGATATATGACCTCACTTTTGGCATCCCAGTAACCATTGCTTCAGAATTAACGTGCTCGGCTATTCTGTTTTGGTTGGCTAACCGACGGACACTGCTTGGTGCAGGTGCTCCTTCAACATTGTCACCTAATATAGCAATAAAGTTTTCAATAGATGAAAGCTTACGCATCAGATCAAGAACCGTATCATGAACACGACAGCTGTCTACTCTGCCATTCCACTTGCTCTCCACAGGCTGGATCAAGCTTCTATTAATGAGATCATTGAAGTATCTTTCTCCAAGCTCAAATAATCTTGTTCCCTGTTTCCCATCAATAAATCCTTCAGCTATCCACTTCCATATCAAACAATCCTTTCCGATCAAATAATCTTCTGGATATGTACTTAGATATAGCAAGCATGTCCTCAAATGTCGAGGCAGATCATAGTAGCTAAATGAAAGTATTGTCATAGTATCTTCAGCTTCCCTGTTATCTGTGGTATGAAAACCAATAGAGTTGTAGACCATTGACCATTCGCATTCTGGTTTACCAGCCAACAAACTAGCCATTGTGATGATTGCTAATGGTATACCAGCACATTTCTTTAGAATTTTCTCAGAAATGTCATCTGGATGGTTATCAAGGAACTTTCGGTCTGCTCTAGATAACCTTGTATAAAATAATTTCATGGAGTCATCATAGGAAAGTTGTTTCAGCTTGTAAACCTCACCAGATGCTTTGGCAACATCAACATTTCGAGTAGTTGTGATTACTTTACTTCCACGATTATTCTCAACAAGTGCTAGTTCGATTGCTTCCCAGGTGCGTACCTTCCATACATCATCAATAACAATAAAATACCTATCCACACCAAAGTGGAAGAAACATTGGTTAATAAAGTTTGGAGCTTCTGCAGAAGCAAGAGATTTGCTAAGATTAAAGGAAGTCAGCATGACACATAAAACACAAGGTCGCGTTAGTAAAAATAAAACACATGACGGAAGTTGCTATGGTTAATGGTCAAGGATAATTTCCTTTGCGGTTCTAGTATTTTCCTTTGCGTTTTTTTAGCACCCAAGGTAATTCGGGATTCTAGTAGTGGTATTTATAGAAACTACACATCAAGTGGCCTATTTGAAGAAAACTTCATATTTAAGGACACTTTATTACACAGAACTTACTCATCTATGGCCATGTTGCAAACATAGGCAACCCTAAAACGTTGTTTTTCCTATATTTTATAGTTTCAGAAGGAACACATTTTCAAAATCTAAGCTCGTAAAAATGTTTATGAATTTACTTAATTAAACTATGATGCTTAGAAGTGCTAAATGCATTGTCCTTTTTTATAGCTAGTGAAGTAGTCTAAAAGCTGCATACTTAAAAAAAGAGCACTCAGGGCATGGAGTGGAGAAAATCAATCTCAAGTAGTCTCGCATAAATGATGTGGAGATAGCATTTTTAGGATAACATACGACATAGTGTAGCATCGACTAACTGAGGAGCAATATCTTAAAAGCACTGGCTAAATACAATTTACAATTGGATGTCTGTGTTACCTCTTTTTCTTCAGGAATTCTCGGAGTTGGTGAATGAGGAGCTCGACGCCTGTCTTAGTGTTGTGAATGTCCTTATGGTTTTCACTGTCAAGATGAAAGAGAATATCCTTGAAAACTTTTACCAAGTCATGATCCCGACCGATTGAAACGAATGCCCCGCAGTCGTACTGCGACTTAAGCTTGTCATACACCGCTTTGACAAGAGTGGTTTTACCCAATCCTCCAACTCCTACAACTGAAACCATCTTCATCTTCTTATTGGAGGCATCATGATCCTGTTGGGATTGATTCAGCATAGACATGAGCTCGTCGCTTGAGTTGTCGACGCCAATAAGTTGTGTCACTTCTTTGTACATAGCTTTAAGGCGAGGATCAATAGTTGACGTTGCTGCGAGTGGCTTGCACATAATCTTATCAAGTTTGTACTTCTGACGATTGTTGGCCACCTCCTCGAGACGCTTTGTTATGTCCTTGATCTTTGCTGCAATATCACGGCGAGCCTTGGCCTTGCTGAACAGCTCACCCAGCTTCGTCATGGCAAGTTTGAGGCTGCTGGAGTCGGAGTTGTTCTTGCCGCCGTCGACGCGAACGAGGAAGGTGTCGAGGACATCCTCCATGTCGTAGGATGCCTCCCTCACCTCGCGTGCCCACAACTTGACCTGCTCGTCGAGCTGGTCCCATGGCACATCCGAGACCTTGTGGAGGAAAGCGTAGATGTTGTACAGCTCGTGGGAGAGCGACTCAACTTGCTTCTTCACGCCCTTCTGGAGCTTATACTCGTCATGGAGCAGCTTCGCAAGCTTGGGGGCGAGGCTTTCCAGCGCCCCCGTCACCACACTCATGCTTCTACCCTTGCTTGTTTCAGATCTGAGTGTAGTGGATTCATAGCAGCAAATAAGTCTGATGGTTGGTGGTGACAAGGCGTCTAGTTGGAGGCATGAAGTAGCTGCAAAATTAACCCGAAAGCAACCAGGCAGACGGGGGGCTATGGCAGGCAGGCATCCATTCGATGGGCCTCGATACCTACGCTGGTAGCACATGCGTCCACATGGGGTCTATGGCACTGATGAGTGATGAGCACAACATATGCGTCCACATGGGTATATGCTGCTCCGCTGTGAGTGGGGGCCGACGACTTGACTTGCTGGCCTGCGCGGACCTCTGCCCCTGTCCTCTATTATTGCCTTCAGTTTAGATCTGAGTGCAGTGGCATGCTGGGCCATGACAAACTAGTATATGCGTTTACGAAGGTTTTAAATAGCCAGCTAAGCCATTTAGTATTCAATGTCCGAAAACAGGCTATAGCGGTAGCTAAGGGCTAACTTGTACATGAAAAAACTTAGCTAAATCCTTTTCAAACAGCTATAGCCGGAGATAGCGGAGGCTATAGCCGGAGATTTAAAACCTTGGTGTTTATACGCATTTCTCATGCTGATCCATCGCAGGGGATCTAGTTCACACGCAAGCCAATTAAGTCAGATAGAAACACTGTTTAGGAGGAAACTTCACCAAGGCCTTGTTTAGATTGTCTCAAAATTCCAAGTTTTTTCACTCTCTCCATCACATCAATTTTTGGACGCATGCATGGAGCATTAAATGTAGGTAAAAAAAATAACTAATTGCACAGTTTGGTTGTAAATCACGAGACGAATCTTTTGAGCCTAGTTAGTCCATGATCGGACAAAGTTTGTCAATTACAAACGAAACGTGCTACAGTGTTCAGATTGCAAAAATTTGCAATCTAAACAAGGCCCAACAGACTGAATAAATTTGAATGCTCATCACACATTCACACATCGAAGTTTCTGTCATCGTCAGCACTATGCCAACAATATTAAGCCCTGCACTGCAACTTGTGTTCCGCAGCATTTATATACTTGAATGAGCAGCCACTGCACGCTGTCAGTAACTTTTTTAGTATGCACTTTCTCCAGCTGAAAGAAGTGCAGGTCCCATATTTTGATACGTGAAACAATTTCAAGTTTAACCAAATATATTAAAATACTATTTTTTTTACCAAAAAATAAGCGTCATTAGCTTAATCATGTCACCCAATTCTCATCCGTAAACAGATTGCTCTAGCCTGGGTCGCACCCGCGCCTGGCTCATGGCCGACGGGACCGTGCCCGCGTCCCGCGCCAGCATGTAGTGGCCGCGGCCGGATCTGTGGCTCCAGGGACGTTGGCTGCCGACTAAGCCCGCGTGCGCCTGCAGCGGCCGGGTGGCCGCGCCCATGCCTGGGAACGTTGCTGCTTCGTCCAGCTGTTGCTTCAATATTATCACCTAACAGAGCAATAAAGTTTTCTTCAAATGCAAGCTGACGAATCATATCAAGAACCATATCATGAATACGACAGCCTGATACTCTTCTATCCCTTGCCTCCACCACCTGGATCAGCAAGCTTCTATTAATGAGATCATTGAAGTATCTTTCTCCAAGCTCAAATAATGTTTTTCCTCGATCTGGATTGATAAATCCTTCGGCTATCCTTTTCCATATCAAAGAATCCTTTTCGATCTCGTAGTCTTGTGGGTATGTACTTAGATATAGTAAGCATGTCCTCAAATCTGGAGGGAGATCATAGTACCTAAATGAGAGTATTGTCATAGTATCTTCAGCTTCCCTATTGCCTCCAGTGTCCAGACCAATAGAGTTGTAGACCATTGACCATTCACACTCTGATTTACCAGCCAACAAACTAGCCATTGTGCTAAATGCATTGCCCTTTTATAGTAGTCTAAAAGCAACATACTTAAAAAAATGAGCAAGAAGCTGTTAGGTAGAGACTACTGGATAAATGCATTTCTTGTATGCATGGAGTGGAGAAAATCAATCTCAAGAAGTAGTCTGGCATAAATGATGTGGAGATAACATTATTTTTAGTATAACCTACAACATAGTGTAGCATCGAGTAACTGTGGAGCAATATCTTAAAAGGCACTGGCTAATTACAATTTACAATTGAGTGTCTGTGTTACCTCTTTTTCTTCGGGAATTCTCGAAGTTGGCGAATGAGGAGCTCGAGGCCTCTTCGAGTGTTGTGAATGTCCTTATTCTTTTGTCACACCCAATTTTAAGGATAAAATGGGATGCAAAATCTTATGTGCGCCCAGAGATCAGCCACACACATAAGCCAACAAATTATAAATAGTATCATCACCAGTGTTTATTACATCACGAATAATAAGATAGAGTCTTCACATAAATGTAGCGGAAGTGTAAAGTAAAGATCTCTTGCGGAAGCTCCATTTCACATGGACGTCAACTGGTTGACCACAAGTCTAGTAATCCTCAGGAAAGTCATCATTACCATAGCCATCAATTACCCATCTGGAATTTTTATCCAAATAATGAAAATAAACAAGCGTAAGTACATGTCGTACACAACAAGTGTAACATGGGGTTCATGAGGCTCAAAATGCTTGACACAGGTTTGACAGCATTCAGCTTTTTAATTGTCACAATTTTAGCATAAGAGTAGCAATAAGTTGTTTCAATCCCAAAGTGAAACACATGATCAATGTAAACATGAATAATGAATAGCACAAACCAATAATTCTTAGTGATCATCTATTCCATAAGGGTTCCAAGGCCGCTCGTGACCATGAGTACGGTTGATATACAAGTTTTACACTTTATAGAGGTTGTACACTTTCACCGTGAGTCATGATTTATCCTTTTGCCCGAGGTCACGAGCCTCTTAAACCACTACCAAGGAAGGCAGGGTTCACTATGAAGCATTTCAAAGGTTCGTCTAACAAGTTAGGGCCATTAGATTCACTTGGCAAACAGATGTAGAGCCGCCCTTCCCGATGGCACATTGACACGCAGCCTATACTCATGGGGACAGAGCAGCACTATATCCGATTCGGCAAGCCATTCTTACACTAATAAAGGTAACCATTAACAAGCTAGAAAAGGTCCTCATACTGAGCTAAAGCCAGAGTCATATAGCCCTCTTAGCTGTACTGTAAGTCCCGGATGATCACTTACAGATAAGTCCTTAGGGAGAGGAATCTAGAGCACCATAAAAATAGCCCAATGCTCTAGCCCCCTGGGTCCATGTTGCTCAAAAGTCATATTTTAATATTTATTGCATATACCATTAGTCAAGTTACAAGATCATGGTTTAATTGAGCACTAGCAAAGCTACCCAATGCATATCCCATAGGAGACAAGGTATAAGTTCAATTCAAGGGAATCCCTATCAAGGTGACACATGCAACATGAATTAATGTATTAAAGTTGATAGGAAATTAGGATAATCCCATGCTATACTTGCCTTGAACAAAGTGCTTCTGCTAATCCTGCTCGTCAAAGTAGTACTCTTGTTCACCCGTAAATTGCTCACCGTTTATACTCGATAACCACAGCAACATACAAGCATCTCGAAGCAATCATGCATAGCAAACAAAAGTTATATATTAGACTAGTACACCAATCAGCATAAAATCAATATGAAAAGTTTGTAAAACAAATCTACATCTCACTACGAACACACAGATGCAAGACCACAAAAATCAGAGCTAAAACGAAGAAGTTATGAATTAAACAAGATTTCCTTTAGTAAAATAATAGATTAAATCCAACCTTGTATTTTAAAAGTTGAAAACATACTTAACAGTAGTATGAACATGTAGATTATGGAATTACGAACCTAACGCAAGTTGAACGGATCAAATCGGAGTTAAAACGAAGATTTTATGGCTAAAACAAGGTTAGTGGCAAAATTGTAAATAGTTGAAACTTAATTTTCGAATTTAAATAAATAAAATCAGATTTTAAACCTTTCCATGGACCACGGCCACAATTTGAAGAAAAGACAGGGGCTCTTTTGAAAGAATACAAGGACGGCGGGTTAAGATCCAATTAATTGTAAGGGCCTTTTTGCAAATTTTGCAGCAAAGGGGTATCTTCTAATCTCGGCCGTTGGAACGGAATCGAATGGCTCAGAATAGTTCTGGAAGGGATGTGAGACGCCGGCGAGGTCGGCGGTGAGCTCCATGGTGGTGCCATGGCCGGAGACGGGCGGTGCTCGTCGAATTCGGTCTACGGACCATGATACAGCAGCCCAAAGGTACCGAGAGAGAGGAGATGACGGCAAGCTCGGCTAGGTAGTTTACCTCGGCGTGAAGCCAACGAGAGCAGCGTGGTGCTCGGTGAGGCGGGCGGATATGGCGGTGGTGCTAGGGCTAGCGAGGCTCGGCGTGATGTGAGGGCAGCTGCGGCTCCGAAGCTTGAGATAGGCGCGGCACGATGCGGGCATCCGATTCTTATAGCCAGAAGCGGCTTGGAGCACAAGGCAAGGAGGGGGCGTGGGCGGCGCGGACTCCCGGTGGCGGCAGTGTCCGACCCGATCATGCGCGAGGAGGAAGACGGTGCTGCTGACATGTCGGGCTAGGCCATCAGCGAGAGGAGAAAGGGGTGAACGCGGGCGCGGCGCGGCGGGGAACTGGGCCGCCTGTTGGGCCGCTGTGGAGAATAGGAGGCCGCGCGAGGGAAAGATGGGCCACGCAGGGAGAAGAGAGGCATGCCGCACAGAAGCAGGCCGAGCTGGGCTACGGCGGGCTAAAGTCAAGGGAGGGAAAGAAAAATTCTTTTCCTTTTCTAAACTAATTCGTAAACAAATTTTGAATGCAAATTCAAATCAATTTGAAGTCTGATTTCAAACCACACAATACAAAAATAATATGTAGCAGCATGAATGCATAAACATGTAGGCAAACCTTATATTTGATTTTAATTTGATAAAATTTATTATTTTTCTATGTTGCATGCACACACTATTGCATAAATAAATCCAATTCACCTATTTTCAAAATGTTGCAAATTTTAGGTTGTTACAATTCTACCCCCTTAAAATGAATCTCATCCTCGAGATTCGAACAATGCTTACTCAAAAAGCTACGGGTATGTTTTCCTTAAATCCTCTTCTCTTTTCCAAGTAGCCTCATCTTCTGTATACCAATTCCTCTGAACCTCACACATCTTTATAACTCGGCTCCTTGTAACTCTTTCTGCCATCTCCAAAATCCTTACCGGAAACTCCTCATAAGTGAGATCTTCCTTAACTGTAAGCTCTTCTAATGGTATCTGCTCCTCAGGTACACGCAAACACTTCTTTAACTGAGACACATGGAACACATCATGTATACCTGACAAACTCTCAAGCAATTCCAATTGATAAGCTACTTCTCCACGTCTCTCCAGAATCTTGAAAGGCCCAATATACCATGGTGCTAACTTTCCTTTCATGTTAAACCTTCTCACACTCCTCATAGGTGATACTTTTCAGTAAACATAATCTTCTATTTCAAAAACCAATTCCCTTCTTCAGGTGTCAGCATAACTCTTCTGTCGAGACTGTGCTACTCTTAAGTTATCTCTAATCATCCTTACTTGCTCTTTTACGTCTCTTAAAACATCGGGTCTAAACACTTGGGTCTCTCCCGTTTGATTCCAAAACAACGGGGTTCTACACTTTCGTCCATACAAAGCTTCAAAATGTGCCATATTGAGACTCTTCTGATAACTGTTGTTATACGAGAATTCTACGTAAGACAAGCTCTTGTCCCAACTTGTACCATACTGCAATGCACAAGCTCTCAACATATCCCCTTGTATCTGATTAATCCTCTCAGTTTGTCCATCTATCTAAGGATGGTATGCTGTACTAAAATTCAACCTTGTTCCCAATGAACTATGTACTTGCTGTCAAAAATGAGATGTAAATTGAGTAACATGACCAGACACAATTTTCTTGGGAACTCCATGTAAACACACTATCTTTGCCATATATAATTGGGCTAACCTCGGTCCATTATAAGTAGTCTTAACTGGTATAAAGTGAGCAACTTTAGTTAATCGATCCACTATCATCCATATTGAATCGTAACCTCCCTGAGTACGTGGTAACCCAACTATAAAATCCATACCAACTTCTTCCCACTTCCACTCAGGTATCTTCATGGGTTGTAATAATCCTATAGGCCTTTGATGTTCAGCTTTTACTCTCTGACATGTGTCACATAAAGCAACATATTCAGCCACATCTCTCTTTAGTCCATACCACTAGTACTTCTCCTTCAGATCCAAGTACATCTTGGTACTCCTAGGGTGAATAGAATAAGTGGACTCATGTGCCTCACAAAGAATTGCATCTCATATAGCGTTATTCTCAGGCACACATAGCCTTTTCCCAAACCACAGAGTTCCATTGTCATCCATATGGAATCCTAGTGCCTTGCCAATCACTATGTTCTCCGATATCTCTTTCAACTTCGCATCCTATAACTGGCCCTTACGTATTTCTTGCTCCAGTGTAGATTCTATCACCAACTCCACAGCATTAGTGACAAAGCCCAAGTTTAGTTGCTCAAATTCTACACACAACTCACTTGACATAGCTGCTACTTTCACCTCCTTGGCGTAACTCTTCCTGCTAAGAGCATCTGCAACAACATTCACGTTTCTGGGATGATAGTGTACTTCCAGATCGTAATCCTTAATCAACAGCAACCATCGACATTGTCTCATATTCAGATCTATCTGAGTGAAAATGTACTTCAAACTCTTCTGATCAGTATAGATGTCACTTTTATGTCCGATAAGATAGTGCCCCTATATTTTTAGAGCATGAACCATTGCTGCTAATTCCAAATCATGAGTAGGATAGTTTAGCTCATACTTTCTCAACTGTCAGGATG